TAGATCAAGTGTTACCATATTCATTAGCCAACATGTATATCAACATCAATTTTGGGATATATTTACAGTTTGGTTATGGTTACATAATGAATATTACAGTTTTTTAAAAGGGCAACTCACGCATTTTGTAATAACCATTGCAAAATGTAATAATTTATTACAAAATGCAGGGAAATGTATTTTATATTGCGTTCAGGCTGTTACAGAATGCAGCAGATTATTACAAAATGTGGGTTTTATTACATAATTACATGAAAATGTTCTTGAGTCATTACATAATGTGTTGTTTATAGGCCTTTTCTTTTATTCTTTCCTTGTCCTTCTTTTAATGAGTATTTTGATAACTGTTACACATTGATAGAAAAAAACAAATTAAGCTTCTCATTATTCAGACTCAGCTCTCAGCGCTTAAGCTTCTTTTAAATGTTGATAAAACCAAGGTAATGCTCTTTTCAAAAGCTAAAAAGACACCAGAGCCTGTTTTAGATATTGTAATTACGCAAGGAATAAAACTTGAAGTGGTTACCTGTTACAAATACCTTGGTATCTGGCTTGATGATTGTCTCACTTTTAAACTTCATGTCAATAACCTGCTTAAAAAACTGAGGGTTAGGCTAGGTTTCTTTTACAGGAACAAGTCCTGTTTCTCACTTGAGGCCAGAAAAAGGCTAGTCACTGTGACCTTTTTACCTGTACTGGACTATGGTGATCTGATCTATATGAATGCACCTGCCAATTGCCTGGTCAAGTTAGATGCCGCCTATCACAGTGCACTGAGATTTGTGACAAACTGTAAAGTATTAACCCATCACTGTACCCTGTATGCAAGGGCAGGTTTGCCTTCACTAACTGTACGGAGGCTCAGTCACTGGTACATTTTTATATACAAAGCCATGTTAGGGAAACTTCCTTCCTACATCTGCTCCCTGATCTCATGGCGAATTGTAAGTGGCTACTGCCTGAGATCGAATGCTGTGGTTTTATTAAATGTGCCAACTGCTAGGACTGTCTTAGGGAAGATAGCTTTTAGATGCGCAGCTCCGCTAACTTGGAACAGTCTGAGCAATTTGGTTCCACTAAATGTTTTTAAAGCAAGGATAGATACTATCCAATCGGAAACTGTTGGAACCTGTAAATGTTACTAGCTATGTAAACTGTAGTTACTGTAAATATGCTGTATGATGTCCTTTTTTGTTTTTCTGTTATGTTTATATGTATTCATGTGGAACCTACTTGCAGCAGGTCACCCTTGAAAAAGAGATCAATGATCTCAATGGGATTCACCTGCATAAATAAAGGTTTGAAATGAAATGAAAGATCTTTTTATCAGAACATGCATTTCTCCTCATTGTGAACATATATTGCACTCATGTTCAGAATATATGGTACGTACATGGTCTTTTATAAATCTGAATATATAGTGCATACATGTCCCCATATAATTGTGAATATATAGCGCATACATGTCCCCATATAATTGTGAATATATATAGTACATGTCCCCATATAATTGTGAATATATTCTACATACATGTCCCCATATAAATCTGAATATATAGTACATACATGTCCCCATATATTTGTGAATATATATAGTACATGTCCCCATATAATTGTGAATATATAGTACATACATGTCCCCATATAAATGTTAATATATAGTAAATGTATGTTCACATATATACACAACCAATATATTATATATATTTACATATATTACTCAATATATGGAAAGCGGCAATTACTGATGTATTATCCCATATATTGCAATATATTAACACAATATATTATTCTATATATCAATATATTGTAATATATTAACACAATATATTATTCTATATATCTTCAATATATTTTGTAGATATGAATAAATATGTTTTTCATGTTGATTATTAATCAGTATCAGTTGGTGTAGCCAACAGCAAGATTTCCTTTATTAAATCTTTTCAATTAACCAGTAAATCAGAAAACAAAATAATGCAATATATTGACAGTTAATATATGGGGAAATATATTTTCTTTGCGTAAGGGGTAGGTACAATGTTTGATAACATCAGTGAAAGTGTTATTTTTGGATAAGAGGATTGGGAAACTTTAACAATGGAGACGACTCAAATGTTTACCTCATATGTGGTGGACAAACAGCACCGTGAGCTACGGTCTCTAAAATGATCATCAGGAGAAATACACACCTCTCTTTGAAGCTTTGAACAAAAACTGTCAATTATAACTTTTAGGTTTGTTGTCAGAGTTTATTGCAGCACTGTTGCACTATTTAACATACTTGGATTCAGTTTCCTCTAATAATGTGAGGGCATTACGTTTCAAATGGCTTTGTAACCAAGAAGACTCAAGAGACAGATCATCAGAAAATAAGTGTGAATTTTTCTCACTGCTGATCTGATCTGATGGAATCAACCTAAGTAAAGTTGAATAATATAAATCAAATGTATTTATCAGTAAAATGCTAAAAATATCTTATCGAATTGGTAAAAAGGTGATTGGGATAGAATGTGTGTGTTGTTTGTTGTTTATCATATTCATGCCAGAGAAAGCCATTGGCGGAAAAACGCCATGTTAGTACAGTATGCCTCTGGCAGATTCAAATGGCACTACAAAACATGATCTAAGGTTTGTGGCACACAGTTTTCAATGATCACATTTCTGACCAAAAGGCTGAATCCAGATGCAGAAAATGAAACATAAATCAGAGACTTAGACCCTGATGATCCATGTTTAATAAGATTTATGGATACTGTAAATCCTCTAACGCATAAATCCACTGTGCACTGCCTTGTGCCTGAGGTGTTGTGGAAATAAGAAAAGGTTGTTGCAGTAACCTACAGTATATAAATCTTCTCAAAGATTTGAGGCACACAAATAAAACTACCAGCAAGGTGATGTTATAGATGAGTGCTAGCTTGTGTACAAGTTCTTCTATCCTCTATCCTGGACCTGAATTTTTCTCACAGTTATTAAAACCTTTGAAGCTCGGTGAGAAAAGGGCTAAATGAGGAAGAGGTTGGATAGTTCAGCTTTTTCTGTCAGCGGTGTGGCCTTCCCCCAGAATATAAATATTCATCAATGTATCCATAGACAGAGGAAACTCATTATCATATCACAGAGACATGGAAGGTCTACTGGCATTAATGCATCTCTGAGTTGATTTTTCAGTCTCAGAACAGCTCCACCACCACCAGCCTGCTGCACTACACTGGATGAGGTCTAGAGGGGTTTCCAAGCGGATCACACAAAAAGATAAACAAACACTATTTGCAAAGCCTCCATCAATTTCCTTTTTTTAACCAAAGCTTAAGGTCTCTGCAGCAATTTCAGTTTTAACAGCTCAATCACGACAGTAACAATCCCCCTTCCCTGTTTGCAACGTGAGTAGGCTTACCCCATGCGTGGTTGTGTTGGCATGGAAACAAGAATGGCGTTGTGATGTGTATATTGAATTTTTCACCCATGTTCCCACAGTGAGGGAAGCCTGACATCGTCCCCTCCCCCCACCTCTTACACCAGAGAGCAGATTCCTTCCAGATCTCAGCCCGCGTGTACATTAAACGCATTGGCACCCCCACCTCTATGTGTCTTTAAATGGCGAGTACCTCCCCCCCCTCTCTTTAAAGTGACTAAAGCCCTTTCAATTCTCCCTCATTTAGGTCAAGAAGTGAATTAATTAAAAAAGTATAGTGTTCCATTGCGTTTGCTGTATGAATCATTATTATTAAGAATTATCTGAAATGGGGCATTCTGCAAAGAGAATAATTTTACTTTGGTCAGATTTATTAATTGTATACTTCAATTGCAAATGTTTTTACCTCAGTAAAATTGTGAATGCGGGAATTGTTTGGATTATATTTTTTATGTCTGTTATCAAAGTTGAGCAAACATGATTTGGGACACAGCAGTTTGGCCTACTTGTGCTAAAATCTGATTATTATATATAATTATAAATATCCTGGGTATATTACATTGTTTTTTTTATGGTAGAGGGGGATTAAACATGTAAAACCAAGCTTTTACAAATAAGCATTAGCTCTTTTAAATGCTAGGAATGACCGCAGACTTTGTAATTGAACGTGTCTTCCATTTGTCCCACTGCCCCCTTGTGGCTAATCCATCCATGGAGATATGTTCAGGGAGGAGTTATGGGATATGTCAGCTGGTACTGCATGACTTGGAACCAGCAGCCTCAGGACTGACCCGTTTCTTATGAAAGACAAGAGTTTTTAGTTAGTTATTGCCATCTAGTGGCAGCAGAAGTGTAAACCATCACACATTTAGACTCCAAAATAAAAAGACAGATCCAGGTGACAAGTTGTCACATTTACTTTTATTGTAAAGATGATATTATTCCAAAATATTAATATGTTAGAGGAACAGAGATAAAGAAAAGGAGGAGAATACATCTAGAAAACATCTACGCAAGACTTTGGTAAGAATCTTGGGACACATTCTTATCAAAATATTCCACAGCAAAAAAAATAACAAATCTTCTAACAATGCTCAAAATCATATATCTCAACCGTGGTGCGTCTACATGTACAACAATATAGCTGGGTAAAAAGCCAACTGGGCATTTTGTGTCCTAGAAACAACTGAACATTGGCTGTGTATAAAACACTGGAATGGCTGGGCACCTGTGCTTTAAAGTTTTAAACTCTGGAATATACTGTACTACTTAAGGGATCCACAAGATATAACAGTTCTTTATCTTATTATTAAATCAATTTATATTTCATAATTATATTTTTCAAGACACATTGTACCACAACAAGTTTACAGTAATCTTGCAAAAGAGTCTTATGTGTATAAGAGCTAGTTTAAAAGCACAGAAAATTCACTCTAGTTTAAATCAAGAGTTTTCCAGCGGGATGTTTAAGTTTAACTTCTTTTGATGTCCCCCACCTGGGCTCTGGATTTAATCGAGACAGATTCAAGCATGTGCCGTTCCAGCCCTAACAGAGTGCATTGGATCCTTGTGCAACAGTGTGCCATGCCCTGTCCTGTTTCCAGCCCCACTGTCCTCCCCCCTCTCCTCCCTAGCAGGGGTGCACATTACAGGCCCTGATCTCCTTCCTGTCCTTGCAGCTGGACAGCTGGGCAGTCTTAAACCTCTGCTTTACTGTCATGAGTCGTTCTTGAATACCTCCACCACACAGCTTGGTACAATCTGTCCATGTTGACCACGGCCTCATTTTACACCCTGAAGAGATAAAGAGACAAACCATCAGAGAAATGCACATCTCAGATTTCTTTATCAATTCCACAATATCTTAAATATACATTTCAGGGATAATTCAAATACTTTTTACAAATTCACAACATTGTGTAGTTTGAGAAACCCTTAAACTTGAGTTGCTGATATAACACTGAAACAAAACAGGCTTTACATCAACTCATAGATAATAAATATACAAGAGAGAGAGGGGCTTGAATTTGCTTGAAATTATTTTTTTTGTATTGCCAACAGAAATAATATTTTTACGACGAACTATACTATGACTTTTTCATAGCCTTTCTTATGACAAACTATACCATGATTTATTTTATATTTTTAAGACATACTGTAGTACAATCCTTTTTTATTAAACCATTATGAGCTTTCTTACATTTAATAGCATACTATACTTTGACTTTTTCTCATGGCATTTTACTGCAAAGGAAAACAATAGATGTTGTGTTTTAAGCAAATTGAAGTGATAAGTAAAGTACATTTTATTTGATATCCTTGCACAAAATATATAAATTCAAATGAAAGGGCCTCGATCTTCGCCCCTAAAATTAACAAACGTTCATTGACCATATGTATTATCTGTGTGGCGTTGTACTGTTTAATGTTACGAGGGTGAATACCAACCCGGGTGCTCGGTGGAGACCTCAGCTTTGCCCTGTATGCTCCTTCTCTTTTCGCGCTGCTCCTTGCGGCGTTTCTTCTCGTCACTGTTGGCCTGTCCTCGAGTGCACTTCCTGATCTTGCACTTCTTCCTCTGGATGGTTTCAGCACACGCGTCTCCTCCAAACTGAGGCTCCATATTCAGCATGCGGGTCCGGATCGTATGACCCTTACCACAGGACTTATTGCACTCCGACCACTCAGTCCACTCTGACATCACACAGTCTATGGCTGAGGAGACACAAGTGAACAAAAGTTATGTGGTTTAAAGGAGGTTGTGAAAAACTGACATTAGAGGGGTAACTGACTTTGAAGGATGACAGTTAGGGGCTGATTCAATGTTATGTGTACTGTAAATCATGGATATACAGTGACACCACAGAAAATACTTTTCTAGTTTTCCAAGAGGGTTTGATTTATTTTCACATGGCTTCTAACGTAATAAGCACTGACATGAACAATACAAAAATACAGTATATATTTCTGGCTGTCTGACTGAAAACAACAACCTTTTTATATTTTGGGAGACACAGTGAAAAGATATCTTTCTTTTCTTGGCAAGTTTATGGTTTGGCTGGTTAGGCAATAGCTTCTCATGCTTCTAGTATAATTTTCTCAGTATAGCAGGATAAAGATGCCAACACAGCTCGACATAGAATACAGGAAAAAAAGAGACAGTAAAGGAATAATGAGTACTTTTACTTTTCATACTTCAAGTATATTCTGATGCCAATTTGTTTGTACTTTTACTTGAGTAACATTTTGAATGCAGGACTTTTATTTTTAACAGAGTACTCCTACCCTCTGGTACTTCTACTTTTACTTAAGTACAGGATCTGAGTACTTATCCCACCTCTGATAAGGACATCTTGACCAGTGCCCATGTTTGTAAATAAATATAAAATGGATAAACATTTTTGATACAGATTTAATAAAACTGTCAAGCTTTTGTTATTTTTAACACATTTGAATTTACATCACTTCGATTTTGCTTTCATTGACCTCAAAACCTACACTTATTTAAGTTATCTTAAAATCCCTTACTAATGTTCGACCTTTAATGTAAAGCTTTTCATTTCGATCAAGTCATGTGATGCACTTGACAGGCGTTTCAGTTTAAGCTTAAATATGAATACAGCTCATGAACTCATGTATTCATTTCTACCAGCTAGCACCAACAGATGTACATTTAGAAAAAGGTTCACAGAGTTGACATTCTTTCTCTGCACGTATTCAGCCAGAAGTGAAAAGTGTATGTGTCTGCATCAAGGCGCCAGGTTGCTAACAGAGACGAAATTACCATACATTTACATCAATTATACATGTATAGTATGTGGGCGTATAGATAAAAAAATACTTACGGCACTCTGGCAGCATGCACTTCTCCACCTGCTCTAAATCTTCTGTGCACTCTCCCAGCTCCACGGGAGACTTTAGCGTGCGCTGTCGTGTCCTTGCACCCTTCCCACACGTCACACTGCAGTCACTCCAGTCAGACCACGGAGTCAGCATGCAGGGGATTGTATCTAAGCAGGAGTCACTCAGTTACACATATTGTACATCCATATATATATATATATATATCCATAACAAAGAATTGCTAACAAAGCACTTATATACTAACAAAGGACTGGCTTATCTAAAGCCAGTTGAGTAGCACTTGAAATGTTTTGGCTCTATGAAACCTGATGTACTTATATGATTCTGTTTTCTTCAAGTTTGTATCTTCCTGGTCGAATGTACTTATTGTAAGTCGCTTTGGATAAAAGCGTCAGCTAAATGCAATGTAATGTAATGTAATGTAATATATCAGATGCATTTTTGAAGATCAAACACATACATTTGTGAAGTATTTGAACTCTAATTATGTTTCAAATGACTTTTTTTCATTAAACAATCATGAGCATTAGCATAAAAACCAAACCTTGTAATTTAATCAGGAAGTGACAAGGGAAAAAAAAAAACGATTCCACACGTTTGCTGTTTGAATTCAGTGTTTAGGAGTTAAATCTGAATGTAAATCATCTATTGTTACACTTTAGCGAGTTGCTACAAGAAAACGAAAGGTCATTTTGTCTTATTATTGCTCCTTATATTGGATCTGTTATGTTTGTGCCTGGCTCGTAAATGGTGCGAAAGTGTGAGAGGTGTCAGGATATTTGTGGTCCTGAAAACGCTGCTACTCACGACATTCTGGCATCATGCACTTTTCAACTTCTAGCACCTCTGCCCCACAAATGGAGCCATCTGCAGGAGGCGTCTTCACCATGCGCTCTCTCCTCCTCATGCCAAGACCACAAGTGGCACTGCAGATATCCCACTCCCCCCACTCTGTAACCAGACAACTGCTGGGAGCTGAGGCCAAGAGGGAGAGAAAAGGTACAGTAAGCCTGCAGTTGTACTTACATTAGATATATAGTATAAACTGATACACTCAGCAGGCCACTTGTCAATAGCAAAGTCGGACAAAAGGAAAGGAAACTCTTACAGCATTCCTCATTGACCACGCAGTTCTCGGCCTCCTCTGTGGGCAGGGAGCAGCCTGAGCCATCTTCAGGGACCTGCTTCACAAAACGCTCCCTGGAACGTGTGCCCATGCCGCAGGACAAACTACAGGGAGACCAGGTGACCCACTCCGACAACAGACAGGTGGCGGACTCTACAGAGACAAATGACAAAGAGCAAGATGTCAGCAACTTTAAGTCAGGTAAAGGATTGCTGTTTAATGTGTATGCTTTCTTGCTATCAGCTCTAATAAATGACAGGGATTGTTGTAAATGGGTTTTTCTTGTTTCTTTGAATACATTATATAATCTTTATTTCCAAGTTTGAATGCCTGTTTCATCAGAGGTCTAAAGAGGGACCTGATGTGATCAGTGTGGACAGGAGGTGAATCTGTGAATGGTTAGACAGTGTATGAAACATGTACATCTGGAGGGGTTTCACCTCAAATTTCTGTCAGTACCGGATACAAAACTAAGCCGTAAATTGTGTTAATATTTGTTGGTGTTCAGCAAATGTCATTTGGTTTCTTGTTCAGGTGGACCTGGTGAAACAGTCAGTGTGTGCTTGGGTCAGCTTGGTAACATGATAATAAAGATGCAGCACCCACACTCTTGGGCGGCACAGGAGAGGTTCATAGAATTTTATTTTCATGTTGACCTCAAATTTAAAGACATTAATTCTGGGCTTGGTGGACATGTTTTTCACATACGAAAGGGCCATCTCAAGTGAAAATTAAGTGCATGGGGACACCCGTCGCTAAGCGTACTGTGACTTTGTGGTCCTGGTTGAATTCATTAGTAATCAATTTCATTAATGTGGACATGCATGATGTCCTCTTTTCACTGCAGGAAATGTTCCAAATCCTCCTCAATGACGACCAGAAGATACATTGACCGTGTAACATCATCGGAATTGGTTTTATTTTTATCTAATTGAAACACTCAAGGTGTCCTGGCATAAAGAAAACCCACGCTAAATTAAATCTGACTCAATATTAAATTGAACTTTTAGAAAATTAATGTTTTATTCCCAACCCTTATTTAAATATTATGGTTCAAACATATAATGACACATAATAGAGAGATAAAGAGTAGCTCATGCGTGCTTTCATTATAAATAGGCTCTATTAATGCAAAACATTACTTCTAAATCCAACAAAACAACTAGAAATGTTTGTACAAAATGCTGTTGGCAGTTTTTACAAGACCAAAGAAAAGAGTTCCCACTATTTCTTATGGTCTTGCAATCCCAGCTAGTTGTAGGTTAAATCTGGTTAATAGTTTATTAGTTTAATGGAATATTCACCCAGTGTTTACAATGCTTAAATGCTCCCAGATGAGTCCCTGATGGAACCATCAGATAGATCTCTCGACTTTTCACTGTGGCAAACAAGGAGGGACGAAACAGACCTACAGTGAACCCTGGGAACAGTTCCCCTTTATCTACAGGTAATCATGCTTGCTGTTGTTTATAAATTACTTTTGCTCGTTTAAAAGTCAATCCACATTGCATTTTTCCCTTTTGAATTGTAGTTGAAATATTGAAATCACTCAATGTAAATCACTTTTCTGCTTTATTTGTATAAAAGGATATATCAATTCATTAGTAGTAATGTACAAAACAATACCACACTGTTGTTATCATGCTAAATGTGCCAAATTGTTTAATATATTTTCACTTTTAAGTAGTTTGTAATTTAGTTTAAAATGGAGCTAAACAAATAAAGTAGTCTTAATATTTCTGCGTAATCAGCATTAAAGGTTTAAAACATAAACATAGCACAAATAATTAACGTTGAAAAGCCCAATCTATCTGCCATTAAACTAGCATTAAGGGCTCCTTTCATTGATATAAATATCCAGCCTATTAGTCAACCTTAATGGGGAACAGAGCATAGTTTTCATCATTTAATCATCTATTTAAAATTAATAATACAAATCTTCCATGATTGTAATACAAATGTTGGTCAAAAGGAATCTTTCACTTAAAGGGGACCTATCATGCAAAATGCACTTTTGTACGTCTTTTATACATGAATATGTGTCCCCGGTGTTCCAGGGAACTCACCAAGTGTCAGAAAACACAACCCTCTCTATTTTCCTCCATACCCAAATCTCTAAAAAAGGGGCTGCAACGGATCTGATAAAAACTGATCCAGATTTGAACACTGTCCTGACGTCAGGACGGTGGCGCTACGGCTATTGGGCCAACTCCACCAATCAGGAGGAGACAGCCACGGCCATTGACGTTCGAAAGCGCTGGAGACGCTGTAGTACATATGCCAGGCCAGTAGATGGTGCTGTTCATCACAGAATCAGCCCTTGCAAATCCAGAGCTAAAAAATGTCAAATTGAGCAAAATGAGGCATGGCTAAAATGCATGATCTGTTTGGTATTTTGAAAAAAAAAAAAGTATAAATATGCCTTATATAGGTATGGTCCTACACTATATTATTCAAATATAGCATGATAGGTCCACTTTAAAGGCAGTACGTGGAAATAGACCAGGTGGTCATCAATTATATTTCACTAGACGTAGATTAGACCAAATGAATCAAAGACAGACAGACTGGCTGATCTCTGTGGACACCACATTTTCTGCCTTTTGGGTAAAAAAGATGAATAATCGAGACAGAGAATATAAATATTTAACAGGAATTAAACCTTGAACACCCAGCAGACATAATGTATTTTTCTCCAGACATCTTATGAAATATATTTATTAGCCTCATGGAATTTGACTTGTCCTGCTATAAAATGTAAAAGCCTGCCATATAAACAAAGTGCTCTCCTCGCCTCTCCGTCTGCTCTCACTTTATTGCTGCAGTAGAATGGTACCTTGGGTATTATCAATGGCCTTATACAGAAACGTTTTTCAAAATGGCAACACTTCTCGTAGTGTCAAAACATTATTGTGAGCAATATTCTTAACATATTAATACAAATATAAAAGATAAAAAATGCTCATAAAGCTGTAAAGTGGATGCTGAACCTTAAGAAACCTCTAAATTAATGCAATCATCTTTTTTTCATCACCTACAGAGAGTTCTTTGTTTTCCTCATGCTTTCGGTCTTAAACTCACCCTCATCGCTGCAGCCAGGCCCCATGCAGGGCTCAAAGTCCTGAGTGTGTGGGCAGGGCACACTGAGGTCCAACTGGGCCTTAAGCATCCTCTGCCTCATCCGCTTTCCCTTTTCACAAGTGGCCGAGCTGCAGGCGGACCATGGAGACCAGTTGGAGTAGATACACGTCTCCGGAGTGTCGTCTGCAAGATAATGAAGGGAAAGCAGACAGTGTAATAGCCTTACACAATGTAATGGAAACTGTGCCAGCTTTTATGTGTATGTCCAGTCAGTGATCTGTAACTAAGTTCATCAAAGAGATAGCAGAAGAAGAAGGCTTATGAGTTATCTTGCAAGCAGATTCATGCCAGCAGTGCCTCCATGTACCAGGATGCCTTGCATGCAAGCTGCTGATGCCCAATCAAACATGTTGTTGCAGAGTTGTGCCTATACCTATTCAGGTAAAAAAAAAACAGCCTGAACCAAGACGGCAACAACTCTTTATTATTTTCAACTGTGAAAGGCAGTGCAGTACAGCTTTCTAAATTCTAATTATAACTTTCACAATAAAAGACACCATTTTATTTACACAAGACGAGTAGAAATTCAAGCTGAAGTAGTTTGTAGTTCCTCCTTGAGTCAAACTACGTCACTATGACATCAAATGACGCTGCTGTTTACAGGCAGTACAACAGCTTTTCAGCAGTGCTCTACCTGATTATTCACTATAGGACGAGTAAAAAAAAGGTTACCATCACACTGATAGACATCCACATAAAAAAGGCTCAACCTTCTCTTTTAAATGAGCTTTTAATAATGTATAAGAGAAAGAGAAAGACAGAGAGAGGATACAGACCTTCCTCTTTCTCCTCCTGGGCAATATCTGCTACAATGTCATCCACATTGTCTGGCACAACGTTGCACTGTTCTCCCTGCAGACACACAGACACACAGTTATGTGGGAACACACTCCAGCACTCTGTAGATGTTCTTTGGCTTTGCTCTTTCTGTTTGCTCTCTGTGTTTTTTAAAGCAGTCAGAAAGAGTGACAGGCAGCAAAGGTCTGCATAAGCTTACACAATTACTTAATCATGGTATTCAAACAATACACAGGAAGCAGACAAATTGTATAACAAATGATGGTGAAAGACCATGCATTATGCAATTCTGAAAGTATAAACTGAGCGTGTGTGCTAGAGTTTGTAAGTAAATGATGATAAATGGGTTGTGGCAGAAGTATCATGAACTCCCCGCAGCTTCCTCTAGATGCCACTGAAGGACGGCTAACCTTTAAGCGTGTCTGCTTTGCAGCCAGAGTTCCCAGGGAATGCATTTCACCACCCATTAATTTATAATTAGAAAAAGTTCATATTTCATTGAGTGAATTTTTAATACCTGCCATAAATGTTTTCATTAACTTTTTTCATTGCTTTGTGTCATTTTAATTGGCTGGAATAATCTTAAATCTGCATCCCAACACATTTGAGACATCATTTTTTTTAAATTATTATTCATATTCCTTAAGAGTAATTAACACAGGTGGGGAATGGTCAGCATATTACTGTTAATCATCATTCATGTTAATTGAAAGAATATCACATTGGAATATCTGTAATAACCCTCCTTACTAGTGAGTTTGATATATACTCAACGACACATTACGTACTCTCTCTGACATTTGATAAATAAGATCTAACTTGGCTTGTGTTTCATTTTTTCTTCAATTTCAATAAGCAGGGAACAAATTGTGTTGACAGGTGTTCAAATGATTTATGTTCACCTTGTACTCCCACCTAGGGCACTAAAAAACACAGGACTCAGACCCAGCACTAATCAATTGCTGTATTGATGGACAGACTTGAAGTCCCCGTCATACCTGCTGAGCTGTGATAAAGAAAAGGGAAAGGTGTCTCGCCCACCTCTCTGTCTCTGCTTTGAAGCTTTTGAATAAATCCATATTTCATAATGATTGGAGATAATTAAGGATGCCAGTTCTATTTTTATGTGGATTGAATTTGGCTGTTTTATAAATGTAGCAAAGAGTCAAGAGGGGTATGCGTGAACTAAGTTTATATGTGAAGAGGAGTAGAACTGAGCTGGAAATCCTGGAAGATCACTTCAAAATACCGCAGTAAAGCAAGAGTATCAGAGCGTATGAAGAGAAAACTTGCAGAAAAAGTCAAAACACAACAGAACAATTACATACTTTTTCTTGTTTCTACTGGATGTGATAAGAAAGGGCAAATTACTACAACACAATTAAAGCCTTGTTAGCATATTGTGGTGGTTATCAATTGTAAACACGCCTAATGTTTACCTTAATCTGTTAAATGACAAATGCCTGCATTATTATCAGCTATATTTGCTTTAAGAATTGACTGGTATGACCTTTCTGGCAATGCGGTCCACTATGACCCTGGCCACAGGTGTGATGGCGCCCCCTTCAGAGTCATAGAAGGGGCTCTGTGGGTGATCCAGACTGGTCAGGGGACGGATCTTATCCTTGGAATCAATGGGCTTGTTGGGAGACTGAAAAAGGACAAAAAATACAGAAAAAGAGACACAAAAAAAAAACAGAAAGCCGGTGATCTTAGGGATTTCAAATGACACACTGTCAGTATGAGAATGAACACAAAGTCACTCAAAGTTACTCAAAGCGCAAAGGACAAGTCACAAAGTTATAGAGCAACTGTGTAGGAGAGATGAATTGTAAAAGGGAGATGCTCTTATTAGTCAACAGTAAAGGTCTGCCAGCATGGGGTTGATGGAAGAACCACCGCCAGAGGCTGACGGCAGGCAGAAGCTCATCCTTCACTCCCCACTGAGGCCAACAGAAGGAAAAAAACAGGCAAGAGCAATTGTGTTAGTGTTTGAGAGAGAGAGAGGGAGGGAGATAGGGAGAAGGGTAATGAGTGGCCACTAATTAAAAGATACAGTAAAAGTAATGGGACTGAGAATGGATCTCATTACTCTGTTGCAGGCCTGTGCCTTTAACAATTGTGTTACACAGACACAAAGTCCCTTCCCACTTCCAGAATAGTCTCTGTTCCTCCACTATCCTGCTGCAAAATGTATTTTTGGAAAGAGGGTTTCTTTCATTGCTCTTTCTAAGAAGCGTAATCATGCTTCTTGTGTGTTTTGTTGTCGCTCTCTGATTAATGGGTACTACAGTTTGAGAAAGCAGTGATTTGAACAAAGATAGCAGTCCCTTAATTTTCTTGGGAAATCATGCATTTGGACAAAAGGGGCATAAGAATGGATCCTTGAGATTCAGATTAAATTACACCACGGGTTGCAGAGGAGACACATTTAATTGCTTTGATGCTAAAGAAAACATGATTATCCTCAGGCATGTTCTTTCGTTTTTAGGGAGCATATGTTTGTGGATTTATGATAATATATTCAGGGGTAATGATATTTCAAAGTAAAGCATTGGTAAGAATCCCCAGAAGAAGTTGCAATTTTGAACACTGCTGCAACTCCAACTGCTGACTATGTTATAAAAATACCAATCCACCATAGTCAAACTACAGAAACGACTTCCTGTGGATTACAAAATGTAGTCCCTTTCAACTTACGGTATCTTCATTTTAAGTCTCTTTTTTTTGCGAGAGAAGCAAACCTCACAGCCTTGAAACCCCTGCTGTATTCAATTTAATTACTGCACATTCAGTTTAATAGACTGTAGTTATATCTATGCATGTATGGATCAGCATATGGCAAGCTCAAGCTATGTTTGCTATTTAAAAGTACCCGACTTTTTGATAGTCAGTCTAGTAGGCTCTAATGTGTGTGTGTGGTGTGTGTGTGTGTTTGTGAGAAAGAGAGAGAAACAGAGAAGGAAGAGAGTAAGACGGAGAAGAAGAGTGAAATTATCCCTGAGGCTGGCCAAAACAAGCAAGCGAGCACAGTTCAGTGGGTTCATCTGTGAGAACAGCCAAAGGTTTCTCACATGTCGTTATTGAGTTTGGTCAAACATGCGCACGCACAGCCTCATCTGTTAGTGCTGACTGGAAACACTGAGCACGCAGCACCTCAGGGTGAGGGAGGGAGGGGAAGACGCACAAGGCTGTTAAAGGAGAATTGGATGGGGGATGACACTTGAATTGTTGCAGACGGGCAGTGTGTGAGGAGGTGAGAGAGGGAATGATTGTGAATGTGAGCAGACAGGAAGATGAAGAGGAAGAGGTTGGCGTGATGACAAGGTCAAAACGTGAGTGTGAAGGGAAGACTTGAGAGTGAGGAAGAAGGTCTTCCAGGGGGTAAAAGGTGGAGAGAGTAGCAGCCTGCAGACGGTTGTGATTGCTGTGGGACTGTGGGGTTGTAACCTGAGTTGAGTCATACATTCAGAAACACTGTTGTGACTGTTGTATGATGATCACAGAGAACTCATTTCCCCCTAATTTGAAATTCAAGTAATAACGACTGGTACATTTTTAAATTGAATACATTCGAAAAGGATGTTTCACAAAATAATGAAGGGATAACTTGGAAAATAATGATCACAATATTTCTGATTTAATACCCCAACATTGAAATTGCAAGAATATTGAAGGGGTTAACTCTGGGTGCTTTCACAAAATACTTACAATTTGAAATGTTCGCTTAATAATCTTTAGTAATGTCTATTGTTTATTGGCTAGGTGGGTAAAAGCTAAGTCCAGAAGATAACATGGCTTTACTGTTATGCAGCCTTAAATATCAGGAAAATATACTTTTAATCGTGTCATGTTAGAGGATATGTAGCCTCATATCCCTGCCTTCTTCACCAAAAATACTGGAAATAAATAAAAGTTAATTTATTTTCCCCCATGAAACAACATAACACATTATATGTTCAAAAGATAGATCAGTCATTAAACAAAACACAAGCCAGTGTTTCCCATACATTGATTTATTTGTGGCGGGCCGCCACAATTAAATATCGTCCGCCACAAATGGATCTCATATTTGGGGGGGATTGGGGGGGTGGGGGGGGTTGCGGTGCGGTTCCCCCACAAATAGAATCAAATTCTGTGGGAAACACTGCAAGCCCATGTAATATAATAACGAAGCATTTTTGTATTTACACTTAGGGGAACATTACATACATTCTAATTAATATCAAATTGTTACAGTCTTTTTACTGACCTCATATGACACTCCGCTGTCAGTGCCAGCATCCCAGGGGATCATGTCCTGCACCACCCTTTGGACCCAACCACACTCCTTGGTACACAAGTCCTCCGCAGACAGACCAACGTTCCAGTCTGGACTGGGCCCCAACATGGTCAGGAAGGACATGAGGTGACGGCTCCGGTCCACGGAGAACTCTGCTGAGGGGGCGGCCCGCCTGAGGGAGAGAGTGATAATGAAGTCTGTGTGATTCAACGCCGTTTATAAGTGTGAGTACGGGAGAGAAAGAGACGTCAGCTGCATCCCAAATGGCTCACAAAGGTGTGTCCTTCACAAGACCTGAGGCAAGGCTGCATCTGCTCCACCTTTAATGAGAAGTCCAGCCTGAACAAAAGCAAACCTAATGATGCATTTGGTTGCGCCTAATAACCTAATGAACGCGTAAAGTCTAATATTTCCAATTGAGTCTCCAGCAAGTTGTGCGTAAATGGCCCACAAAGTATAAAAAGAGGGGTAAAAGTTTCTGATATCCAAGTAAAGAAAGTTATGATATGTTACTGACAGTTTCTCACCATTAATGGGAGGCTGTATGTAATTGAATTCAATAAAAAAGCCAGTGGGAAGGTTTATTATATCGATCCACTAGTCTGGTACACACGAGTGAAATTTATATCAAGGTTTTTTGGCCCTGATTCTGTTAATATTGGGTATGTGCGGTCGGATAACAAGGTCAACCTTAAAACCAGAAAGAAAGATAGAACTCATTTCATCCCCAAAAAAACAATGTTTTGCCATGGATGCTCAGTAGGCTTTATATAATTAAAATATTTATATAAGAATAGTTTGAGGCATCATTCATAATGTTGATTTTCAAATCATTATTATAAATAACTTCCAGAAACACTGCATTCCAAAAAAGCTTTCTACCTTCTCCTCTCTCTCTTTTATTTTTTGTTGTAAAAATATAGCATGCATATTTCAGAAAATAATTATAACAACGTAGTAAAATACATTCAGATTACACTTAAAATGTAAATCGCTCTAGGAAAGAACAATTGGTTATTATTTATGAAATCAAAGATAGCACAAGCCACCTGGATAGGTTAATATGCTGAAATCATTGATACGATATCAAAGGTTTGGTCAGAGGTCTAATTGGGGGAATAAATGTACTGAAACACATTTTTAAGCATCAGTAGAGAATCCATGTATTTCAGGGTGTTAGAACTCAGAGTTACTCGCGCTGTTCAAAGATCACCATTGAAGAGGAAACTTCAACTCTCCTTTAGAGACAGAGAGGTACTTACACTGCCTACAAATTACAGGGAATGAGAAAAAAAATCGGTTGACATATTTTACACTCACATTGCCAAAACAAATCAATCTCCTCAATGTCTTTATTCCAGGACAGGAGACAAACACAAAGCTTCTGCCTTCTGTCTTGACCAATGATTAACCACTAAACCTAAATAAGAAATACCCCAGCCCAAACAACAATAATTAGGAGTGGGAAGGTTCTAGTTGTGAGAGACAAGTCACCAGTGACTACCTTTCACTATCAATGTCAATCCATTTGACTTTACTCAACTCACTCCTGCCCTTGTGCACTCTAATAATGGCCTCTGAGGATGTGAAATAGCCCTTGTCCCCATGGGAACACACGATTTACCTCAACTCTCCCGGGCCTCTGCTCAGTGACTGCTGCGAGAGTGAGGCTTATCTCAGACAGCTACCTGGGCTCTTCAAAAATGTGGAGTTGATAGAAAGGTAGAGACAAAGTCTGGGAGAAAATGAGGAAAGCATTAATCACCCTAGGTAACCCGAGTGAAATGCTTTTGTTATTCAAATATGCTTCTATTAATAATGATGTGCAAATGTCGAGAGGTGTTATTAATGCATGCTGTTGCTACATGGGGTTGTACATGGGCATTTGATTGCCTCACTATGTATAGAACATAAATGATTGCTTACAGCCCAGACAGAAATAAAGACGAGGCTCATTAACAGCTGTAGTCTTGTATTCAATGGCTCCTTATTTCACCCGGTTGCCCACCTTACTTTTTATAGCTGCCGATCAAATGGAACCCAAACAACACAAAAACAGTTGTCTGGTTATTAGAAAGACATGTGACAAGAGTGAGCGGTTGTTGGGAAACGACAAGGAGCACACTGAGTGTCGTTTAGATACTGAAGCTGTCCTGGAAGGAACCATTTAAATGCAGTATAGATTGATTGGGTAGCGAGTGCGAGGACACAAAGAGTCAGGTAGTATTTCATCATTATTTTTAGGATTTGAGAGTTATTTATTTCATCTATAAGACACTAACCTTCTTACTGAGTGTTTTTGTGCATTTGTGAGGGACAGTGTGTTTGAAAAGGAAAGGATTTAAGTATGATTACATTCTGAGTACATACTGTAGCAGACACAGCCCAATGTACTTAAGTCTTTCAGTTCGGGAACATGTTCCTTAGACACTACAATATAGAAAACACTAGATAGGGAAACTGAAATTGGTGTCTTAGACCAGTGGTTCTCAAATGGGGGTACGCGGACCCCTAGGGGTACGTTGGAGTACTGCAGGGGGGACGTGAGATTTATTTTATGTTAATGAAAAAAACAAACATAATTAATGCATTTAAACAAACTTGACAAAGATTAACTACTTTATTCCAAAGTTTACAGTAATTCTGGATAATAAAATGGGAAAAATAAACGGGGTGCTCTCTTTTCCTCTCTCTCGTCTCCTGACAGCCGGTCAGTCTCGTGCAGCTCGCTGAACCTGTAATAAGTGACCCAACAGTAAAGAATAAATATATTTATAATTAGTTTAGCTAGTTCCAGAGTAGATAAACTAGCTAAGTGTGTTAGGTCTAACTCTTAGTGTATTTTGCTCCGCTCAACGGTCCGTCACAGCGGGTGGAGCTGTGATCCGGAAGAGCTGCGTGTTCTCCGTCAGCAGCAGCTGATCTGATCTCTGATCTCTCTCTCGTGTCCGGTTATACTTCACTCGCGTTTATATCCAAATCTATCAGATCTAGCTAGTTCTAGTTAATTATATGACTGCCTGCGTGTCAAAGGACCTAAACAATAAGCGTTGCTTGGCAACGGCGTGTGGCCGCAAAGTATAGTGCAGCATTATGCATTTGTTTATATGAGGGGTCAAAATCCCATGCTCATAAAATGCTCATATATTTTTTTCTCTTCATTCCCCACGCCCCAAAATAAATAAATATAGGCCTACCAATTTTAGGAAAAGTAACGAAGTTTGAGCAGTGTGGGTTTTATATGAACAGAGTTACACATATTTCAAAACGTGAAGTGTAATAACTGCAGTTTGCCTCCCTGTCAGAATGACAAAGATCCTCAGTGAAGCACAAGCCCATGTTTCTCACTAAATTGTAAGTACAACTTATTGAAAAGATCAGTTCAATGCAACTAATGTCGTCTTAGTGTTATTGCATGATGTTAAAATTGGTTTGCAATGAATTTAGTGTTGGATTGTAAACATTTACAGTGTTTCTCAGTTTAAGTTGTTGTTTTAATAAATCAGACACTGATGGTGCAGCGCTGAACTGTACCTCTTTATATAGTCATTTCTTCCCTAAAAAATTGTTTCTGCGCTGATCAGGGGGTATTTTATTTTCATTATTGAAAAAAGTTTGAGAACCACTGTCTTAGACAAGTGTAGTTTGAGATTAAAAGAAGTGGAAGTGGATGGACATGACGTGCTATTCAGTGGCAGAAGCTTGCTGCTGGCATTATTAGTGCATACCTGCTATCTCAGTGCCTGCCTACTCGTATACTCTTAGTCTTTGTCTGTGTAGGAAGCCAAAGACATAAATAACATTTAAATGTCAAGTTTTGAATAACATTTTCATCCCTCTTTTCAGGAAATGAAAATCCATGCTAAAACTTAAAATGAGAAATGAATGCCTCATCTCCAAAGATACAAAGCAGTTAAGACAACCATCGGAACACACCATGCTTTTGGTCCAAATAATAAGAGCTTAGAGGGAGCTGAGGCAGGGTACACACACTGATGCTCCAATTGGCTAACATTTAGAGGAAAACTTCTGTGCTGGAGTTATTTGTGAAATATAATGTATTCCCATTTGCAGACTTGGAATATGTAGTTTCTTATATGTGGTTTTATGTTTGTCAAGCACATATAAATAACATTAAACACATCAGCCCATTGGTTTGGACAGCAATATAATGGTGAAGTATTATTTGAAATTGACATCATGCTGTTTAACTTAATTCCGTTATTTATTTGATGATCTTTTATTGTTCCATTGTTCTTTTATTGTGTATGATAAAGAGTTGTGATTAAGAGTCAGTTGAGCCAGAAGGCAAAGCTCAAAATCCAGTCCATCTTCATTCCTGTTGGGAAAATACTGAATGTACTCTTCCGATATCAGAGTAGCACATGAGAACAAAGGCCCTACGTAGCTGTGTACGTGACAGGATGTATGATTACCTAGAAGACCGTCAGGACACACTGTTGTAGGCATATGATAGCTATGTGATTAACATGATGATTCAGCCTCTATGGAGACAGACATGACAAGCATGATCATTTCTGACATGGGTTTTAGCTAATCTAAACAAAACATTGTATACTGCTTTGAACCGGTATTTCTGTATCTTGTGACTGTGTAACACCCTCTCTTTTATATAAGCATGTGAAGGACACTGTTCGGGGGAACTAGTGGTATCATATGCTCTGTATGTGATGACTACTTCCATTCCTGCAAGGATTCATAAATACATGTATCCTGATATTGAAGCTCAAGCCGGTGGCAAGTAATATTTTTCTAACATTTCCTATCCTCACGAGTCATGAAAGATGGGTCATGACTGAAAGAACAAGATTGCAAGTACAAACAGCCAAAATAAGTTTTCATCTGAGGGTGGCTGGCATCTCCCTTAGGGATAAGGTGAGAACTTCAGTCACCTTTGAGTGACTTGGAGTAGAGCTGCTGCTCCTTTGTGTAAAAAGGAGCCAGTTGAAGTGGTTTAGGCACCTGGCCGCCTCCCTAGAGAGGTGTTGCAGGCATATCCAGCTGGGAGTAGATCATTGGACAGAACCAGGAGGACCAGGTGGAGGGATCAGACCAGAATTAGAGCTATAGTTGATGTGGCCAGGGACAGGGAAGTTTGGGGCCCTCTGCTGGCAGCTGATTCCCACAGGACCCGACTTGGGATAAGCGATGGAAAATGGACGGATGGATGGATTATTGTTTCATTGCTGACATAATGATTCAATGGGCTTGATTTGTTTAGCAAAAGCCTGTGTCCTGATACATATCGATAGGTGATTAAGTCATCTTTTATTTTGTATAACAAGCATCCTTCTAATACTCTGGGTAGAAATTCCAAAGGTTTATTAGTTTGTTCCTCTTATGTATCCGGTCTCAGGAGAGCTTCTGCTGTAATATGTGTCATAATGTCTGTCACTTCTTCAGCCTCATTTCTTTCTCATCACCCACCGTTACTCTCCTATCACATCTCTGCTGCGTTGCCCATTGTTTCTGAAATTATTTTTCTCTTTTTAGACAAATAAAATTGATAGCTGGTTTTAGATTAAGCGATTACTTAAAAAATAAGCACTCCTTCTACTGCTTCCTTTTTCTGCATTGTTGCTGCTTTCTGTCTCTTTCCATCTATCGTATTCCCTTTTATCAAATAGAAGTTTATTGAAAGCTTTGATTGAAGACCATCTGTTTAAAACAACTGGATAGGGATGACGAGATAATTGACTTTAATTAAGGGAATTGCATTTTTCTAATTAAAGCAAAATCCCTCCTAATACAGACATACACCGGAAAGGGCACACATGAATATGTACACAGTATTAATGGAACCGAGACTCACAAACACATCCTGCTGTTGCACATGCTGACGTTAATATGCTTCTATGCATTTTTTAAATGTAAGGCTAATTAAGTCTCTGAAGACTCTTTAGACTTTACAAGATACGTCTTCCAGCTGGTTGAGTAAAGCGTGGACTGTCTTGTAGTTATCAATACAAAACTGCCTTTCCTTCTCTGGCTCCAAATCAACGTACTTGTTCTGATGTGCTGTACACAATTATCGTGTGAAACAATTATTTGGTTGACTGCACAGCACACAGAAAGCTAATTAGTGGATATCATTACTTCTATTCCTGTTTTCTTGCCTTTTGAGACTAAAGTCATAGCCCTTGCTGAGGTCCCGTGGTTATTAAAACAACACAGCATAGGCCTTAACCACTGAACTTCTTCTGAGCCAGCTGAGCCAACAAGCTTCTTGTTTTTCTCATGAATAAGAGATTAAATGGCTCTTGTGAATTTAGGAGTAAATGCACACAAACACAGTGTGCATGGTGTGGCTGGCAGTTTCAGGGCACCTTTGAGCTGGGTTTTCACTGATCAGCACGCTCTGGGCTCCGCTAACTTCTTACCACTGTATCTGCTGACACTACTACAGTATCTTGTTTGTGAATTAATTACTATAACATGGCTTACAAGTTGTGATAATATTTTGGCCGCTCAGTGGCTGGAGCTAACGGCCCATATGAGGTCACTGTTGCCTAGTAAGCTGGTTCAAATCCCAAGCCAGTACATTTCAGGACATGTCCTCTCCTCTATCTCTCTCTTTGAACTCTAAGATCTGAAATAAAGGCCCTTGCATTAACTTGTTTACTCATTTTAACGTAATATGATTTGATAAATGCTTAAAATAATCCATCACAGTGGACATATGCATCTATGAGGAGCAAATTAAAATTGCAGAGCCACTAAACCATAGACCTATAACGGGTGCTTGGGCTAAATAATGATTAAATAATACAACACATTCACAGCTGGGGTTAGGCATGTAAGAGAGGAACCTCAAAATGAGTTGTTAAGTTGGCTGTTAAAGAAGAGGTCATTGTAACCCAAGACTCCCCAGTCGGTTGAAAATCAACAATTCCTTTTCCTACAAACTACTTATTATTCCTGTTTCATATGTGTGACATCAGGAATGTATTGTAACGGCCCGACCACACGGCGGCGTGCATTGAAGCTTCAACGCTTCTGCCCATTCACTTTGATTGGGGTGACGTCACGTTTCGCCAAACTGCATTGTGGGAGCGAAGCGTAGCTTCAGAAGCGTTGCTCGCTGCAAAAGTTGAGCAATGTTCAACTTTTGAAGCTTCGGCGGAAGCGTCAGCCAATCGAATCATATGCCAGTACAAGCTCTAGCCAATCAAACCGTGTGCTTGTGTGTCCGGGGCGGGAGATTCATGTGATTGACTGTTGCTCGAGTTTCAGCCCCCCCCGCTGGCAAGCTTCAACGCACGCCGCCGTGTGGACGGGCCGTAAGGGTAACATGCTGTGATTGCACTGTGATTTATTCTGTTGAGCTGTAGCTTACATTGTCTTTGTATTGTGTTTGTATGTGCACCCTGAATTTAAATCAAATTAGCCTTGGAGGGAAATGTGAGATAACCTTGAACCATGAAGTGCAAAGTGAATCCCATCTCTTTGATAGTTTCCAATCTTAATGATTTAAGAGAGCAAAGTGTGATTTGATGTGTTAAAGTTTAATAACTCTGCAGCAAAAGCCTAAAGAGGGAAGCGAGATGTTTTATTAAGTTAGTCTTCGTGCTGATTTATTTTGTACAAGATAGGGGAGAAAAAGGTCTGGTGATTTACAAATGTTGATGACAGTCTGATCTGATTTGATTGTAAAATATGTAAGAGTTGTTCCTATCCTCACACTGTTGTTTTTTTCAACAGTGTGAAAATATAGATGGAGCACTACAGAAATGTATTCAATTATTATTTAATCCAATGTATGTTGGGAATAGTTTTAAACATTGCACAATAATACATTCATGCATTAATTCATGGTACACTATATACTATTCATAAGCCACGGTTCTATGAAGACAGGACTAGATGTTTAATATTAGGGGTTTTAGTCTCTATGGTCTTAAATATTGTGCACAGCGTTTTGAAAGAGAGGAGACCACTGTGCTTTAATAAGAATAACAAGAGCAGAGGAAGATCTTGGAATCTGTGGCGAAACTTTATCAAGTTTTAAGCCTATTGAAGTAAACTTTATACAGTCATTTCAATTCAACCTATTGGAAACTACTGGGTAGGTTGAAACATTGTAAAATATTGAAAAGATGATTTTCAATTTGTATTCACTTTTTTGATTAAACTTGCAAAACCAGCAGCACAGTAAGTAGAAAATGTGACGTTAGTTTTATGATAATCAGAATAGATCACTTACACATTGAATGGTTGCCAGGCCGGCCACTGTGCTTTCATTTTGATGACTGTCAGGACCTCATCACCCTAAAGAAGAGAGACAGACAAAAGACACAAAAGCTGAATCTCAGTCCTCTCAAATAATCCACACTTTTGAAACATCCTGCTTCACCGCTAAATGATAAAAAAAAATCAATGGAAGACTTTCCATTTACACAATATGGTTCATTATGGTCAGGGGATAATGATGTTTTTTGTGTTCAAAGATTACACTTTTCGGCACGATTAATTTTGGAATTGGCCTCTGCGAAAGTTCATCAAACCTCAACATGCGCTTTCACATTGAGAGTGTACAAAAGATGTTCATACAATGATCACCCCTTAAATGATTACATTACTTTATGGATTTAACTTTAAGGTTTTACGACTTTCACAACATTAATATAGCAGCAAACAGAATCAGAATCAGAGTTGCCAAGTTTATTGCCAGGTAAACGGAATTTGCTTTGGTATCTGGTGGAGCGAACATAAGCAATCTAAGAAAATAAGCTGCAATAGTGGGTAAAAAAATAAATATATAAGGATAATAGAAAACAAGTATTCTTAAGAAACAATTTAGCATTAAAAAAGGATACTAAAGAACAGTATTTACACCAATTTTAAATGTAACTATACAAAGAACCTTAAAAGCTAAAAACAAGAACACTTAGGATAATGAAAATATGACAGCATATGGCACATTATATTTTAAAGTGGAGGGCTGTGCAGACATGTTATACATTTACACCCCCTCTGTACAGGCTGTAATCTGAGCTCATCTGTTTTCTGTTTGGGCCGACTGCATGCCTGTCCCTAATGAAAACATGTCCTTGAAAATGGTAAGCTAAAGGAAGTTTAGTGTAAGTTTAATCAGAGAGACTATATTCATGCTTCATTCACTCTCAATTCTCTCTCTTACCTCTCCTGCTGCTTTTAATCAGCTAATTTCTCACTTGTTTATATGTTGCCACGATCTCCTTCAGCCAATCACGTAGCTGCTGACAAACTTAAAATATATTCTCCTCTCTGCTTCTGTAAGCTGTCATTTTATGCGATATTGTTGCAGCAAATCTCCTCTTTCACCTTCAGCCTTGTCTTTATCTCATCACCATCACCATCAGTGTCTAGACCCCATGTCCCCAGGTTCCTATTCTACTCACAGCTTCACCATCCTCTTAAAATAGTTGATGTCACAATGGGGTCCATTTGCCAAAGACTATTCCCATTTTCCATCCTCTAGTGCACATGTCAATAAAAACTCTGTAATTTAAATAATCTCTGATTGAAATTGGTTAATGCACACAGTATCTGAAGTGAATACTGATAGGGACACCTGCAAAAGCAAGGTCTACATAAAGGACAACAATACCTTAAAAGATCCAATAAAAACTACAAACACAAAATGAACATTTACATTAGAAAGCTTTACAAATACAGCTGTTCTTTTTGTTGTTGCAGAGCTTTCATAGAAGATGACATTGTATTGTATTGTGTTTGTGTTATTGTGTCTAATCCCCATTGGATGGAAAGGATACAAATATTCTTATTTCTTTAGAGCAAGCTTAGTGTTTACAGTGGAATATTAGACTGCATGTATCATCAGCTACAGATATATGGGATGTGGGGGATGAGAATATGTAGTGGGAAAAAAAAATATGCCAGTGTATGGATCAATCAAACGCGCACAAATCTAGTCAAAAGCCCACAGAGAAGAAGATGACATGGTCACAAATTTGCAAAACGGATGAAAAGTGTTCAATTTTCATGCAAATGTCTGTCTTTCATAAAAAAATGTGTGTATGCATATTTACAAGGTGCTATTTTGCTGCAACTCTATTTCCTGTGGTCAGAAAAAGGGTTTGTTCAAGTAGCCAAAACGACAGCACACCCATCTCTGGCTCTGTGTTATTGAATTGCATAGCAGGAAATCTGACAGGCTGATAATAAGCACAGCAGACTAATCCTATTTCAGATTCAAGGGTGTTACTGATGGGCTGTGCCTCTGCTCAGGATTTAAATATGATATTTTTGTGCTTTTTGCATAGTTCCACAACCCAACACAGTATTGCATTCTTAGGAAAGCGTTACACTTTCGAATAAACATTTCAGTCACTATTAAATCAGTAAGTGAAGCACTTCCGAACTTAAAATGAATAGCATTTGATGTGTGAAAAAAAAGTCAAGGCGCTAGTTTGGTTTCTGTTCCTGGGTGGATTCAAACTCTTATATATTTTTTTAAATAAACTAAAGCTGTGACAGTATTGCCCCTTCTCAAGTAACTGAAGATAAAAATACATTGAGAGAAAGTTTAGTTTTTATCAGACCACCTCTCTCCTAAATGAGATCTAGGACAGAGTTATTCACCATCCAATTTCCTTGGCTGAAGGTAAAAAGAAAGAAAAAAACAGGTGAGATAAAGAATAAAGCTGGCGAATATTGCTGCGAGACCTTTAGAGAAACAGATATCTCACAACCAACAGCGTCAAAGACAGTGACAAGGATAGTGAGCAAGCCAAAAAAACACCTTCGCCAATAATTTTGTCTCTTGGCAGCCATTTACAGAACAAATTGAACTGTCCAGATGCGACTCATAACTGCTGAAAAGGACACATTTCATGTTCTGCACCTGCAACCCCAGTAACAACATCACAGTCTCCTCATTTTCTCTCCCTCTACTTTGCTCTTGAACATCCCAAAATAACTATATCTGAATGGCTTAATATACAATGGGAAGTTAAAATTGAGAGAATGCTTTTCTCCAGTATGAAGTGATTATAAAATATAAGTGGAGACAGGTGTGTGGATTTTAAAGTGCAACTCTGCACCACTGTGTAAATGTGTGTTTCTTTTTAGGAGATGACAGCAGGGACTTTTCTCCCTCCCTAAAGTGACAGTACATCACACTGGTGAGGGTAAAGCTCTTAATAGGTGAGGGAAACTCATTTAATAGGTATCAGTGGGGCTAATATCATTAGCACAATTATCACGATTATCAGCTAAACGCAGCTTACTGTGATCATGAAAATACCACAGCAACATAAACATAACTAAAATGTTGTAGTTTGTAAATATTTATAATAAGTATGATCCAAAACAGCACATCATTTTCAAGTAGAGCATCATGCTTAGGCTACACCACTCAGTATATAATCAGTCATAAATTACACAAATTAGCCCCAACATCTTTGACATAAGAAATACTACATTTGCAATTTATTGTACACTTGTAGTACAGTTAGATAGAAACACACACCTCTGCAAGGGCATCTCCCACATGTCCTCCAGATATGCAGCAACCCCTGTGTCCAGTTCAAAGATCCCTGACTTACATAGCTTTAAACCAGGGGTCTCCAACACGTCGAGCTCGCGGGCAGCTTTTCAGTAGCTCGCCGCTCGATTATCGATTATAGCGTAGTAACGTTGCTTCTTGATTTTTTGATTTTCTTGACAATAACGTTTTTTTGTTTTTGAATGTTTTCTGTGACACGAATATCAAATTGGTCTGTGACGCAGAGATCAAGGAACAGACGTGACAGAGACACAGGGATTTATGTTTTTTTTAAAAACACTCGTTATCGTCATGTCAGGTTTTTGGTGGATTTAATCAAGTCTTGGATTGCAGAGTATGAATGTCCTCTTGCTATTTTCAGTTGATAAATACGTGTGTAACGTTTATGAAGGCAGGAGGAAAAAGCTTGCACGATCACCATCTCCTCTGTTCCTCCAAACCCCCGCCCCCCCCCTGAAAATAATGAGTGACAGGCTAATAGTAACCTGATAGAAACTTTATTATTCACTTAATTACTGATTGAGATATGATGAAGCTAACTTAATCTCATACATTCATGGGATTTATGTAACAGTAAGACAGAGAATGTAAGTGTGCACCCACATGCAGCATTTTTGTTTTTATAATGCTGTTGTAAATACTCCTATTGTCTGCTGTGTTCAGACTTAAGTCATGTGTGTGATGCCACATTCAGGACCTTCAGTAACAGAAGACCGTTGCTAGAAGCTGCAGCCAGACTGCAGAAGTATTAGTTTTTTGTTTTTGAGGATGGAACAATTTCACACACAGATATAGGGAGGCTAGACCTATACAATTGATTTATTATGGTTTATAATTTCATGTCAAGACAAAGAAAAAGAAGAAAAAGATGGCTGAACTGTTCAGTGTCAATCCTGTGGAGATGGAGGTTATAAATCTCCTAAATCATGTTCAGCTTAAGTCTCAGCAAAACTCAGAACATTTCTGGAGCCTTGTAGACCCAGAAAACTATAAGAACATTCACCAAGCAGCACTGAACATGTCTGCTTTATTTGTCTCTACATACCTTTGTGAAGCAGCTTTTTCTGACATGAATGTCATGAAATCTAAATACAGAACAAGACTGACTGATGGATATTTAAGTGACTCTATTAGAGTGAACCTAAGTGGGTACACTCCAGCATACACCTCTATGGTGGACTCCATGCAGTACCATTCATCTCACTGACTGTACAAAAGAGTGAATGCACTTATTTTACATGTGCCATAAGATGCTTGTCAGGTAGTGATTAAGGACGTTTATGTGAATTTTCAGTGATGTACTTACTATGTACTATGTTAAATAATATGTGAGACATTTTCATTTTTTTGGACCTTGATGTGAAGTTAAGATTTTTGATAAGCTTTAGGTATTGCAATTTCAAACGTGTACAAAAGTAGCTTAATTCAACTGATGAGGGCTATGTGAATAATTGTAAGCAATGTGATGGAAGTAGCTCTTGGCCACTTTCATTTTTTCAAAGTAGCTCTCGGATGATGAAAGGTTGGAGACCCCTGCTTTAAACACATTATTTATAGTTTCCATTAAAGCAATTGCTGCATGTGTATAATGTTTTTTGTGTGTGACGTTTGTTACTTTATAGACTTTAATGAGAACAATTAAATCTGCAGATTAATAATCTTACTGATAGTTTCAGTCAAATGTAAAAAGTCCTGCGGCCCTTGAAAAACATAAAACAAACTTTAAAGGTCATTCTTCGTATGCATTTTTACGGTGGCC